CCCTTTCTCCATCTGCTACCTGAACAGAGAGGTACCAAACGTATGTCTTGAAGATAGCAGAACCTAAAAGTAGCCTGGTTCCTGGGATCACTGCTTGGAAGAGAGCCACCTAACCAGGAAGCCCAGGTCGGATTGCAAGATGAGTGAGAAATTAACAGTAACATGTTACTATTTGAAGGTTTCTCTCTTACATTATCCAGAGACAACTTAGGAGGGTCTTTCCCTGCCCATGGGTGGAGGAAGGATGTGCAGTGTGGCAGGAAGGGGAAACGCCACAAATCCTCCTCGTGGAGTCCAGAAACTTCTCCTAGAATGAGAACTGCTGGAGGGTTGACCTGGCCGTCCTCGGCAGTCCCCTTTGTCCACTTCAGCTTCCCTGGGTGAAAATGCCAAAAAGGATTCAAAACCTCTTTGGTTTTCTGTGCCTCTGCAGGGCCCACAATAAAGTCTCATAAAAGCCGAAAGTGTGAGTAGGAAGCATCTGAAGTGGGAAATGCCGTTAGGCTGGCCCATAAAAGATGAGTGCTATGAGCAGTAAAATGAGCTAAGAAGGAAAACATGATGAATGTTTTCTCGGCCTTAAACAGCAAGATCCCCTTTCACAGTCCCACGTGGCACTGCACGCCTGGCTGGAGAAGCAAGGGCCTCTGTGCAGAGCCTGACTCAGGGACTGTGGCAGTGAGCCCGTGCCTAGGGGCCCTGGTGGGTTTGGGGGGATGGAGCTCAACTCCTCCATCACCTCCCAGCCCCCACTGGCCCTTGCCTGGATGAAGGCTCCCACTGAGACACTGGAGGAAATCCTGAATTGCCCAAGTTACAGAGCTAGGACATCTCACGTATGAAAAGGAAATCCAGAGTCATGGTACCAGAAGCAGCAGGGAGAACATTTGACTTAAGAGATTTGAGATTTGACTTAAGAAAGTGAACATACTCCCCCCACTGCCCACTACCATAACTCATTGCCCCATGTAGAAAACATTTGTCTTTACTGTGCTGCTTCCCACACTCACACCCAGATACCACTCTCTTCATTTTATGTGGTTTCCAGGAGTTCTTCAAACAACAATTCAAATTCGACCTCCTCCATGAACACTTCTCTCTTTATTATAGTCCTTTTGAATCTCATTTTTAGAAAAACATAATCGTGGAAAGACCTGGGCTGGAGCCCTGTCTTTGTTACTTATAAGCTCTGTGATTTGTGCACATTGCTAATCTCTATGAGTTTCTATTTCCCCATCTATAAAATAGGGATTAAAATACAAATTCTGTAGAGGTTGCAAGGATTAAAGGATAAACTTGCATAATGTGTAACATGTAATAAAAACTCAATAAAAATGTTTCTAACATTTTACAGAATATATGGTCATTACCACAAATGTAATACTTTTTACTATTCACTGTTTCATATGCACATATCTTGACTTCTCAACCAAGCTGAAATCTTTTTTTTAAAGATTTTATTTATTTATTTGACAGAGAGGGAGAGCATAAGCAGGAGGAGAGGCAGGGAGAAGGAGAGGGAGAAGCAGGCTCCCCGCTGAGCAGAGAGCCCAATGCAGGACTCTATCCCAGGACTCTGGGATCATGGCCCAAACTGAAGGCCGACACTTAACCAACTAGTCACCCAGGCACCCTTAAGCTGAAATCTTCTTGACAGTAGGAAATTTACATAGAACAGTTCTGAGAAAATTATAGAATACCAAGACATATTTAGTACTTTTTAAATTAATTGTTCATAATTTATCTGATTGCTATTAATTAATAGTTTGATCTTTAGTGTTAACCTTTTAACGAAGTCAGACAGAAGGATAGATGACTCTCATCCTTGACCAAGGAAGTCATGAAAATAGGACTTTATTGGGGCCACAGAGAAGACAGATTCAGATTTGAGGAGTCTCTAAATGGCCCCAGTCCCAGAAGGTCAGTAACCAGGTTTCAGCAAATAAGGATCAATGCTACAAAGCCCTTGGAAGAACAAAAATATCTGACCCCAGCTGATGCAAGACCAACAGAGCACATCCTCCGGTGAGGATATGGCTGCCCTTGGTGTAAGTTGGAGTAAGCAGATTCTGAGATGATGTCCGCATGTGTCCTTGCTCAAATGTCATCTCCTTAGAGCAGCCCTCTTAAAAAACCCTATTGAAATGAGTTTTCATCCTCATTCCCCAATCACTATCATTCTATTACTCACAATTCCCTCAAGATGATTCTTACAATCTGAAGTTACATTATTCATTTGTTTGCTAGGGTATCCTGTAGCAGTCTCTCACCAGACCATGAACTTCTCAGAGTCAGGAATGTGTCTAATTGTTCACTTCTATGTCCTCATGCCAAGGGCAGTGCTTGACCCAGAGTAGGCATGAGATACATGTTTATTGACATTGAACCAGATGATTGAATGAAGCCGGTCACAGGTATGGCCCTCTCTGGAAATCAGATCTCTGACCGACAACCATAAACATCAACGCTTCGTGAAAATTATCTTTGTGGCTGGGTTGCCTTAGGAGGACAACTCTCCTTCAGTTTATTGCATGCAAATTAGTACAGCAGAGCTTCTCTGAAATCCTCCAAGTACTGAGCAATGAATCAAACATTTGGCATCAGCCAAGAAGCTCTGCCCTTCCATCTCTACCCTCTATACACTCACTAATGATAAACTATTTCATAGAAGAGGATATTAGTCTATAGGCTACAAGAAGTTTCCGAACTCTTGTTTTATTAAATGCCTAGGCTTGAATTGAGATGCTATCATTTTCCTCCAAAACTTATTTATTGATTGACTTTTAAGTGGTTATTCCATTCTTAACCCACCATTCCTTCTATAAAAATTCTGAGCATCATTCAAACTCAATCAAGTTCTACCCCCCAGTGAAAACAGTTCCAACCTCACCTTCTAACACTGAGCATCTCCTCTGAATTTTCAGTCTTTTATGTCATTTGCCCCACAGGTGCATGACTGCCTGAAAAGTAAACCTTTCAAGAGAAAAACTATCACACGCATTTTTTTAACCCTCCATTATGTATTGGGGGATCCTGGCAAGCTAGTATGTAAATTAAATTTACATGAATCTGCCACAGAATGCCATATGAAGGATAATCTTTGTTCATTTGGGCCCATGAATTTGGAGTGAAAGATAATTCAGCCATGCAACTATTTTGCGCTATCCTTGGAAAGTGGGCTTGGTCGACAAATTCAGCAATAAGAATGACTATGTATTGAGATTCTGTACTAGGCCACAAACTTCCCAAGGATGCAAAGAGGAACAAGATAGAATTTCCTCCAGAAACATGAGTAAGGGCGGAATAGCTTTCTTATAGCTCTTTGTATGTAATCAGTGTGCCAATTATAAAGAATTTTCGCCATTCCATTAAAGAGAATTGGGTAGAGCGTATTCTTGAAAATTTTTTATCCAGTTTGTTAAAATAAATATTTTTATTACTTTCTCATTTATAGATAAAGACACATGCCGTAATTGAGATGTAATTGACTTGGACTGCTCTAATTAATCCAAATAAGAGAAATTTTCTGTACTTACCACTCATAAATGATTATTGAAATTCTTATCCTGTTAAGTGAAAATATGGAAATTTCTATGTAAAGTTTGCTCCCTGGCATATGATGATTATCTGTTACCTAAAACCTCAAACACTATCAGGCCAGTGCATAATATTTGGTATGTGGCTGAATCAGAAAGAAATAACTATAAGCTTTATATGTAGTTGTTTTCAGTCTGCCGTTATGAAGCCAAAGGTTGACTGCAAGATTTCCACATAAATAGTGCCTTTTTAAGTCTTGAAACATGTCACAACTACAATCCATGGAGATGCTCATCAGCTGTTGTCCCAGCTATTTCAGCAACTATGTGATAGCTGATGGAATTAACCAGCATTTCAGTCTTTGAAGTTATCTATAAAACCAGTGCAATGATTAAAGTCTTTCCTCCTCCAAACCAAGCTCCATTTCTGGTGAATGAGTGTCGTAGTGGACAACCTGATCCCCCAAATCAAGCCCAGGTGAAGTGGGTCAGCGGACTCCCAGTGTCACTGCCTACCGGGAAACCATCCAGGATAGAGGTCGAGCAGGAGATTTCAAGTTCTGGCTCTGCTGCTTCCCAGCCACTCTGAAGTACAGGCAGGTCACAGCCTTTAGAATCCTTGTCTCCCATTTGCAAACCAATACTTCCTACCCTGTCCATCCCTCAGTGGTTACTGTGAGGCTCAAATGAGCAAATATGGGAGGAAAAAAGAGAGAATATGAGAAAGTGCTTCTAAGTGGAACAGCCCGAGGCACTTTATTCGTCTAAGTCATCATTTGGTACACGGCAATTCAAAATCACTCCTCCAGGGCTGTGGAGGCGCATTTAAAGGGGAGGGTATAAATGTCTGATCAAACAGCCTCAGAGGTGCACTCACCTCACTCCCTTAGGATGTAACCTCTTCCCTGATTGTCCAAGTACCTCACGGAACTGCAGGGACTGTGGGGGCTCCGGCAGCGGGACCCGGTGCTAACTGCACAGACCCAGAGCTCAAATGGCCAGCTCAATCCCTTGCTACACGAGGGCCTGCATCAAGTACTTACTTCTCTTTAAAGCTTGTTTCCAGATCTCTGAAATGATCAAAATAACACCTATCTCACAGAATTGTGGGGGGCTGAGATGAGATACGCATATAAAGAATGGTATAAGGCGCTGGGTAGGGGGCCGGGATGGGGATCGCTGTTGGACTCGCTGGATTGTGCAGCTAGCATGAAAGCGAACATCCCACTAGAGTCAGACCTGATTTCAAGTCCTCGTTCCCTCTCTGACCAGCTCTTCGATCCCAGAGAATCCACTCAACCTCTCTGGAGCTCAGTTACTAATCAAAATGAGGATGGAGAAATCTCCTTCACGAGGTCTGCATAAAGATCATGCCAAGCAGCATAGACCAGAGCACTGTGCTCATTGTAAAGCACAATGCAAATGCATACACTGCTATTTACTTTTTCCGTACAAACACGCTGTAATACAATTGCAAAGATTTTATTTAGCGGCTTTCTGTGCTTGGCACTTAGAAACACAGTTCCGTGCATAAGGGCAAATTTTTTATACACCTTTACTTCATACATATTTTACATACCCTTTTTATTGCCCCCTTTTTTAATATTCATAATATTGGATTCCCCACTAGGCACATAAATACATTATCTACAACACCTCAAAACCAAAAATCTTAATAGTATCTGTATTATTTTACTTGGTATTATTTGCATTTCCACACCACTTAAACAGTTTAGCTTGCACCAAACTTCACTTGTTTTCTTAACATTAAAGGATTTGAAGGGGAAAGGAAAGATGAAGGAAAAAACCCAAAACTTCAAAATGCAATAAACTATTTGATAAAAATGGAGACCTAAGGGCAGGTGGAAGGATGGAGAAGGCCCATCTGCAATTCCCTGGGATGTGCCCGGATTTCTCCTGCCACAGGGGCTAAGGGGCAGGCGATCCAGATCAGGTGTCTGGATCTGGCATGTGGAAGGCCAGGCCTCTATTTGTCACCTCTGCTCTTGGTATCATCTGTCGGGATTATAACACCCTTCCTTCTTCACACTCCTTCCTGTCCCCCTCCCCTGCCAGGCTGCATGCTCTGGAATGGGCACTGCCTACACAGGGCACCCCTCTTCTGGAGCACGGTGGTCAGAGCTGCGGGATCGAAGTGCATTCCTTGCCCAGGTCCCTGTCACCAGTGCCCTGACTCTGCACAGTGTCCCAGAGAGGTTTCCTCCTCGGTGATGCCACGATTCTTTCTAGAACCTGTAGGGGGGTGGGGGTGGAGAACCAAACCAAACCAATTTCCTCAGTGCATTACAACTCTCACCATTGCTCACACTTCCTCTCTCAGTCTCGCTCTCCGCCTCTCTCTTGCTCACTACTGCTTCTCTTCCTTTCTCCTTCGGCTGCTCTTACTCCCCTTTTCACAGGCACCCCCGGGAACATCAGCGATAGCACACCGAGTGAGGAGAGCCAAAGTTCAAAAGCAATCGTTTTCAGGAAGCCAAGTCCGGTTGTAGTGCTGATGTTTGTCAACCCTCATGGACCGGAAGGGGCTCCAGGATACACGGTTCATTCCAGAAACAGGGTAGGCTGCAGGGGAGAAATGTTGACTGCCACTGCTGGCCCAGTCCATCTAGTGTTGTACATAGACCCATTCTTGGTGAAAGCCCCCACCTGGGCCCCCCTCCACAGAGTTCACCCACTTCCAAGTCAGTGTGCATGTATGTCGGTGTGTGTAAGAGTTTGTGTGTGAATACATATGTGTGTATGCATGCACGTATGTATGTAGGTAGGTAGGTATGCATGTATAAGTAGGTCTGTATTCGTGTGGGGGGTAACTTTTCATGGCTGCTACATGCTAGCATCTCCCTTAACATTATTATAAAATGATTGTTCAGTTTCTTCAAAGGCCACTCTGGAGTAGACAATGCTTTATAAAACTAAGGTTTGGGAAGGCAGGAGAATGGCCACTGAGTCGGAGATGATTCTAAGGCAAGTATCCTTCAGTGGCTTAAATGTCTTTTGTTGTTCTTGGGTATGTGCTTTCCTCCTCCAGAAAAAAAAAATACACAGTTCCCATTTTTCAAAGGCTTGGGCTCCCAAAAAGGAGGATCTGCCCATGGAGACTCTGGGGCCCTGTGGGTGTAGGGCAGTAGGCTCCGTGGTGTTTGGACCGGCCATTAAACCATGTGCACGGACATCTGGGAGGAGGAGCCTGGAACCGCCCCATACTGCCGACCGTCACAGGTGTTAGTCGCCTGCTGGTTATTGGGCGAAGGGCTAATCATGTGCATGCTGTGCTCCATTCCCGTGGGCAGGTACTGCCTCTCTCCAAAGGCCCCATTGGAAGGAGAAGAACAGAGTAAAGTGCTTTGAGAGGCGCTCAGTTTTTCTGGGCTTGCAGCTAGCCGAGGAGAAGTGGGGAAATTGTATCCATAGAGATTGTAAGGGTTGTGGAGAGAGAAGGCGTTGTAGGAGCTCTGCTGCATGTGGCTGCCCCCAAACATATGTGGTGATGAGGAGCTGGAGGCCGCATTGCCTGCCTGCATGACATACTGGAACTGGGAAGTGGGGAAGGACCCCAGCTGGCCACCGTAGGCTTCCATCTTGCTGTTGCTAGGCAACGAGGGAGGAGTCGGTATTCCTGAGATCAGGGATGGAGTCCTCTGAGGCATGAAGGTTTCTGAGGGCTGAGTGGCTGAAGCAGTGCCACTCTGGAGCCTGTTGTAGCCACTGTCACTCAGCCCTGGGTAGCTCTGCAAGGCCGCCATGTTGCTTCGGGCACAGGGTGGATAATCAGAGAGGTTTAGATTGCACAGCTGGCTCTCTCGACAGCCCACATTGAAAGTGTTGGGCGCCAGATGAAACGTTGGAGGAGAACAGGATGGAGATAAAAGGTGAGAAGAAGCTGAAGGGGATGGTGTCCCAGTGCTGGAGGTGGTGGGGGAAGTGCCTGTGCTGCCCCCTGAAAAATAAAAGGTGAATACCATTAAGCCAGAGACCTTTTAAGAGAAGTCTGTGCAGGCCAGATGCAAGCCAGGCAGGAGGTGCCCTCAAATGTCCAAGATGGGCTGAGTTTTACAGAACCATCGCTTTCTCTTAAATCAGCAGACTCATGTTAAGTGATTCTACCTGTGCACACATACAGAGGCACAGGCGCACGCGCACACACACACACACTCCAAAAGGAAGACAAAGAGGTGACACAAAAGAACACTAAACTCTTGTTTCTGTGTGGGTCTTTGAAGTCTTGTTTAAAAAGAAAAAATAAGCCCTCCAGTATTCACTTTGCCATTTCTCACCATCAAATTCACTTTCCAGTAAGACCTCTGATAATCAGATTTAAAATCCACCAGCTCAACTTCCCCACATTGTCCGTGGAAATGCGTTAGCTACATGCTGTCACCTGGGACTATGGCTGACCTTGCCATACTTAATCCTCCAGCTAAAAACACATCATACCAAATCTCAGGCCCTCACCCGCAGAGGAAATGGGGTACTGGGGCAAGGTGCCAAATCAAGGTTAAGGCCTGGGAAGGCTGAGCAGGGGGCCCAGGTAGTAGGAGGTCAGGTATGGGACTGAAGTTCTGTCATATGAAAGATATTATGAGTACAGCCAGACGAGTTAGGTTAGCATAAAGCAAAGCTAACCTGTAACTAAATCATTATAATTCAGAGGCTCTGCTAATCTCCCTCTAGAAAAGCCTGTCCTCTGTCTCAGAGATTAGAACAAAGACTGTAAATGTAGTCTGCAGATTTGGGATATTTGTGAGGGCAAGAGTCCAGACAGGTCACAAAGTCAGGAGATCTCGGTTCTCACAGCTCTGCCACACAAACCCCCCATGTGGTCCTGGGCACATCACTTATCTTTTCTGGGTTTCTTTATCCAGAAGATGAGAAATTCAATCGGATCAGTAGCTCTCAAGCTAGGAGAAGCTACAAGCTTTAAGTTCCAGGATCCCACCTCAGACCAACTAAATGAGAATCAAAGGATTCTAATGTGCAGCCAGGGTTGAAAACCAGTGATACCACCCAAATTCCTTATTTCAAAGCACCCAGGAGAGTGATTCTTAAACTTTAAGGTGCATGAGGATCACCTGGAGAGCTTGTTAAAACAGATTGCTGACTCTACCCCCAGAATTTCTGATTCTACACATCTGGGGCAGGGCCCGAGAGTTTGCATTTCTGAGACTGATACTGCTTCATGGTCTGGAGACCACACTTGGGGTGAGAGGACCTCCAGGTCCCTTTCATCTCCTCAAGTTCCTGAAACTGTATTTGACAGAGTTCCTCCTCTGACGTGCACAATTAGAACTGGATCGGGGGCTGATGCACCAACAGATGAAGAGCCAGTTCAACTCAACCTACTTCACATGTGTTCTCAGTTTCAGAAGGCAAAAATGACCCTTCCAAGCCTCTCCTTTCCCAGGGCTACGAAGCAGCTGGGCAGGAGCCACTTTTTGCCTCGCCCACTGGCAGTCAAAGGCCGTGGTGAGTGCTTGGGCTGCCGGGCCTTTCGTTTGAATTCCAGAATGGGAGGCTGCTCTGTCTTCCATAGGGACTCTCCCATGATGGAATTCCTCCTTTGGGGCAAGGTTGGGAGCTTCCCAGAGTTGTTGATGAGAGCTCTGATTCCCCCAAGGAGCCCGGTACCCTTAGGTCATCCACAACTCTTGTGAGGATTCTTAGAACCTGAGCTGCCATAAAAGGATAAAGGACATTTTAAGTGGAAAGGAGCAGGAATAAGGTTTTTATCAGTGAGAGAAATGTGAAGAAAACTGGCAGGCTTCCAGAGATATTGGGATACAGAGAAACCATCCACAGGGTGACAGGGAGGAGGGTCCAAATGTGCAAATTGAGAGGCAGATAACTCAAAGAGAAACCCAAAGTTCATTTTTAGCCTCAGCCTAGATCCACAAATATGGTAGTGGTATTGACTGCAGAAGTTCAAATTTAGCTCGTTAATAGTTTCTTTGGAGTTGAGTTTTTATAAAACCCAGCTAATATCATCTCTTCCTTGGTCAAAAGAATTTCCCCAATGAACTTCCAAAATAGAACAATAAACAGTTGCTGATTTTAGAGTCATTTCAGGAAATTCTCCTTCCTGTTTCTTCTTCATGCCTTAAATTCCTTTAAGAGAGGTAAAAAGATTTCTATACCACAAATTGAGATAAGGCCAGTATCATATATACCACCGAGAGAAGTAAGCCAGCAGCTGACCGTGGTAGGAAGAGCACCCAGGCTAATTCTAGGTCCACTGGCCTCCATCCAGCTCATGATCACAGGTAATGTGGGCTACCTCTTCATTCTCCTCCGCTGTGAAAGAGGGTCTCGAATGACAGGCTTCCGTTTCTGTCCTTCTCAGAATTCTATTGGCGTCTGAGGATTAAATTTATGCTGAAGTGTGAATGGCCAATAGCAAGGACTTTTCAAGGAGCCATTTTAATATAAAGGAGTCTGGAAGGGCACAGCTGAGAAGGATGAGGAAGAATATCTCCGACTACTTGTTTCTGGACTCCTGAGTGGCCTAGACTACACAGCCTTCCAGGAAATTCAGAGATTCATGCTCTGCAACTGGCACTCTACACATTTCCCTCCTCTTGCACCCTCAATGCTATGAGCTTCAGGGAAATAAGTGCTATGGCACAAATGGAGAAACCCGACTCCAGCTGTAAAGAGATTTGTGTTTTACGGGAGATGTATCTGATCTCTCTTTGAAAGTCCGCACTTGCTCCTCCCCCCTCCCCAGACCTGGTGTTTATGTGGTCCCCAAAGAGACCCCCCCCCCGCCGTTCAGCACACTGCACTGTCCTGTTCTAGGGAGGCTCCATCAGCCCTGGCCCCGGCCTTGCAGCAGGAAGTGCATGATGGAGCAGATGACTTTTTACAACTCTAAATGGTTTTCTCAGATGGCCCAAGATGGAACGAATGGTACTGATTTAAGGCTGCAATTGGTTTCACTACAAAAAAATAAGAAGGGAACTATTAACAAGTTACAGGGATTTCTGTTGAGCAGATGAGAGAGGTCCATGTTAAAAAGTGTGTATTCAGCTTGCTTTGGCTTTTAAATGACACTCACTGGAAATGAGACTTGGTGGCCTGCTGCGTTTCAGGGGGTGGGAGCCCCCACATGAACTAGTGTTTGAAGAAATGCTCTTATGCACTTTAAGTACTTGATTCAAATAATAGCTATTTTTCAAGGTCCACATAGAAAGAGAAGGCTATGGTACTCATTTTGCAGAGAAGCAAACCAAGATACTGAGAAGTTGTTACTCTCTTATGATCTCTCAGCTTGGCGGCTGTTAAACAAGAATGGGAGTACCAGCCAAGTGCTAAATAAGCCTAAGGAGGCAGGCTGCCCTCCCTGTGCTTTTCAACACTGGGCTGCCTTGAGGCCTCGCATAACAGAAGAGCTAGGGCCCAGTGGGAGGCCTGGCCACGCTGCTACAGAGGGGTCCGAGCTGCCTCTCAAAGGAAAAGCCTACCTCCCTTTTTTGCATAACATTCTCACCTCATCCCTTCTGTATTGCCAAGTTCTGAATGCTCTGAGGGTCTTGATTTAAACCTTAGATAGATGAGCACGGACTGTAGAGTTTTGGATTCCCTGGCTCTCTTACTGAGTATAGGATCTTGCAAGTGAGCCTCTCTGTGTAAGTAGAATTTCAAGTGTCTACCTTTGTAGGGATATTTTGAGATGAAATAACATATAATACAAAGCACATTTAACATTGGTCAATGTTAAATACATTGTAAATATTGTTTCCTCTTCTCTTCCCTTCTATAAGTGGAGAAGGAGGGAAGGAAGGAGAAAGGAATCCTAGGGCATTAGGGGTCTGATGGAGAAGCTCTCAGGTGTTGGCTTCTGTCCATGGAGCTGAGCATCTTGGCCTCCCCACATACTGGTGAGCATATGTCACAGCTAGATGCCTGGATGTAACAGGCTGGAGGAGCCTCCATGGCTGTGAATGATAGAGCACTGGGCCCTTGACCACTTATGGGCCCATTAAGCCATCTTCACAAAAGCTAAGCCAACTCTGCTTCCTCTCTGGACTATCTTTCCCTCTCCCCTCACCCTTGCCCAGAATGGAAATTCGATGCCCCATGTCTCTATCTCTTCTCAGACCAAGCAAGTGGAATTGAACACAAATAGGCAGGTTGGTGTCTTTCCCACTGTCCTCAGAGGTCTTAATCCACTTCTGAGAGGTGAGTTAAAATGTAATGCCCTAAGTAGCTGAAAACTCTCTGGTATTCCAGGACCAATTCCCTGTCCACCCCACCTCCCTGCATCCTGTTTTACCCATGGACCCAAGTGAGGAGGTACTCATTGAAATTCATATTCAGCATTAGCCTGTTCCAATATCCAAGGCTCACGGCCAAACTAACCAAAAAGAATACATGTTTAGCAGTGTTTCCATATGAGGACAATAACCTAGAATATACTTGTATACCATGAAGACAAGTTAAATGTGACCATGAAAATCCTGAATACCAAACCTGCTGACTTCTGCATCTTTAAATTGATCACTTCCAGACTGTAATATGAAGGCTTTCACATACAGTTTCCTTTTGGGTTTATTTTGTTGTGCTTTATTCCCCTCCCCCTCAAAATTGAAAAACAGTAAAAACAATACCCCATTTGGGCTAGTAAAGAATAAATTTCCATGTAATTACTTGGTTCCATCAGCCAGACTCTTCTCTCATATAACTTGGTGGCATGTGTCCCTGAAGAATATGGAATCACTGTGTCCCTGAGCAGCCTTCTTTGAGGCTTTCAAAAAGATAAAAGGTAAAATGTCAGCACCCTATGGACTCAACCCAGGGAACAAACCCAGAGGCCATAACATCAATGGTCATGATCACAGCCCTGTCCATCCCCACTAAGGAATTACCCTTAGTTGAAATGAGTACCCTTCTTAAAATGCAGATGTGTAACATTACAGTGCTAATGAGAATTGTGTGGTTTCA